GTCCAGAATTCTACTGGAGACGGTGTAAAGGATCTAGAAATAAAACCAGAGAGAAAGAAGCTGGTTTATAATATGCCGCTGGTGTGTTCCAGACATACAATGACGTTGAGTAGTAGATTCAGGATGGACAAAAGGGATTCCCCCCCCCCAAAGAGCAATTAAATTGTGGAATTTGCTGCCGGAGGGGGGAGGGATGGCCACAGGCACAGAGGGCTTTAAAAGGGGATTAGACAGAGGCATGGAGGAGGAGGTGGATCAGTGGCTGCTGACCCCCGCGTTCAGAGGAACTACGCCTCTGAATCCCAGAACCGGGAGGGGAAGGCCTCGGCCTCTGTGTCCTGTTGTTGGACCTCCAGAGGAACTGGCTGGCCTCTGTGCGAGACAGGATGTTGGACTACATGGACCACCAGTCCAATCCAGCAGGACTCTTCTGATGTTCTTACTATACTGGGATAGTAAAGGTAAAGGTTCCCTTGCTCGAAAGCCAGTCGAATCCGACTCTAGGGTTGCGGTGCTCATCTCCGTTTCAAAGCTGAAGAGCCAGCGCTGTCCGAAGACGCTTCTGTGGTCATGTGGCCGGCATGACTAAACACCAAGGCGCATGGAACGCTGTTCCCTTCCCACCAAAGTGGTACCTATTTATCTACTTGCAATTTCTTGCTTTCGAACTGCTAGGTTGGCAGGAGCTGGAACTAGAGACGGGAGCTCACTCCGTCATGCGGCACACTTGGGTCTCAAACTGCTGAACTACTGACCTTCCACAGCCTGCAGTTCAGTGTCTTAACCACTTGAGCCACCGCAGCTCCTTACTATATATACTAGGATAAGGTTTACCTATTGAACCCCCACATTTAGAGGGAATCAACCTCTGAAGACCAGGGAGAAACACACCACCCTGAGCCCATTAGAAAGGAGGGCGATATGGAAGCTTAATAAAATAAAATAAATAAATAATAGACGTTAGGGGAAGGCCTCGGCCTCTGTGTCCTGTTGTTGGCCCTCCAGAGGAACTGGCTGGCCACCAAGGCTCCCTCTAAGCTGTGGAGTCTTCTGAGCAAAAATCCTACTTTGTGAGCTCCTGGCATTAAAGTTGTGAGCGAGCGATTGGACTGCTGCAAAAATTAGTCTGCTATGGGGCCGTCCTTCCTGAGCAAAGACAAAAATGTGTGAGCTGGAGGCTAAAAAACTCTGAGCTAGCTCACACTAAGCTTAGAGGGAACACTGCTGGCCACTGTGTGAGACAGGACGCTTGACTAGGTGGACCCTCACTGGTCTGATCCAGCAGGGCTCTCCTGATCTTCTTATGAAGGCCTCGGCCTCTGTGCCTGCTGTTGGCCCTCCAGAGGAACTGGCTGGCCCCCGGGTGAGACAGGAGGCTGGACTCGGTGGACCTTCAGTGGTCCGATCCAGCAGGGCTCTTCTGATGTCCTTACAAGCCCACTCAGCTTGGCTGGCCTCAGTCCTCACCTGGGCACCTTGCAGGGGTGGGATATCCAGGCGGGTCATCACCGTGTTCTTCCCAATCACCAGGGCCTTGTGCAACACTTCGATGGCCAGCTGAGCCACGCGTACCGTGTAGAAGTTGTTGTTTGTGACATTCAGCATATTCTAGACAGAAAGAGAACATAAGAACATAAGAGGCGCCAATGTTGGATCAGGCCAAAGGCCCATCCAGCCCAATACTCTGTGTCACACAGTGGCCAGAAATACCAGGTGCCATCAGGAGGTCCACCAGTGGGGCCAGGACACTAGAAGCCCTCCCACTGTTGACCCCCCCTCCCAAGCACCAAGAAGACAGAGCATCCCTTGCCCCAGAGCCCCTATCTATCCCTTGTGGCTCATAGCCACTGATGGACCTCTGCTCCATAGGCTTATCTAATTCCCTTTTGAAGCCGTCCATGCTTGTAGCTGCCACCACTTCCTGTGGCAGTGAATTCCATGGGTTCATCACTCTTTGGGTGAAGAAGTACTTCCTTTTATCCGTTCTAACCCGACCGCTCAGCAGTTTCATGGAGTGCCCACAAGGAGATCTTGTATTGTGAGAAAGGGAGAAAAGTACCTCTTTCTCTACCTGCTCGTTCCCATGCATAATCTTATATACCTCAATCATGTCACCCCTCAGTCGTCGTTTCTCCAAGCTAAAGAGCCCTAAGCGCCTCAACCTTTCCTCATAGGTTAAGAGAGGCAGTGGCCAGGCAACGCCAGTCGGGACGCGGGGGGTGGGGGGCTTAAACACAAGCGACGTTTAGTCCAGCAGCGTCAGGGCTCATGTCGTTACATGCACGGAGCGTGCGTCTGTTAGGCAAAAAGTACCTGGAAATCTTGGCAAGGAAGGTGGTGGCAGAATCTGCCTGAGGATCTTCTTCGGACCTTTCCACCCTCTCCTCTGTCAGCTATGCTGCCATAATGGTTGGGGGTGGGATGCTTGCTCGCCCTGTGTACCAAGTACCGCTGCATTTCCTTCTTTGCTTCTGTAACGCTTGCTTATCTATGGCCTTGTAGGTGGTGTGTAGTAGGAACCGTGGGAGCGCTTTCGGTCCCCAGCTTTGGCTCTGACGGTCTGGGGCTCCTCCTCCCACGCGCGGGAATGTGGCTAATTGGCCTAAGGAAGGTGTGTGTGTGTATACGAATACCCTATATCCCATTATGCTTTATTCTTAACAGTGAATTTGTTACTGCATCTATAGCTCTGCAATAAAGTGTAACCTTTCTGATAAGCGTATACTCAGTTGTTGGCTGTGGAGTCTGACACCCTCCCCCTGCCTTTGAAACCAGCAAGAACTGGATCCACTTGAATGCCCGACCTGGCCCAGAGCACTAAACTGGCACGGTCTGGATTCTCTGTACAACAATGGGAGGGACACCCTCTCAGTGCCAGCGTGGCACTTGCCCTAATCCAACTTCTACAGCTTGGCAATTGCATTGGCCTAAGAGACCGGGAAGGGGGGGGGTTGCTTCTCTGTTCCCCCCGGGCAAGTCAGAGGCCCACTGAACCTGAGAAACTTTGATCACAGAAAAACAGCTTCTGACTGTCAATTTCACTCCTGTTCTGTGTTTTTTTTTAAAAAAAAAGCAAACTTTTTTTGACGAAAAAGCTGGAGTGTCTTGCTGAATGGAAGACTCATTCCAGCGGGTTTTGTGCCCCCGTTTCGAACAACTTTGTGTGCACAACTGTGTGCATGGGGCTACTGTACCAAACAAGCCAATTAAGAAGTTGTAAGAATGGTCCCAGGCCAAGAGGCTGGTGTGCGCATCTTAGGTGCCCCCACTCAACAAAACACATAGAACACGGCAGTAATGCCGGGCCCAGACAGGCTCAAGCACTCCAAAACCTGCTCCACAGACTCTATGGGGCTTTGGGGGGATGTGAGAAAGGGGTGGCTGTGACTTCCGGTTTCGACACTCGCTATGGTGGTCGCTATCTCCCGGACCTCTGGGAGACGATCGCCAGAACCTGTGGCAAGGAGGGGGTGTGATCGTCCGCATCCCCCATGGAGTCCTGGGAATGGGCTCCAAGCCATGGGGCGCTAGAAAGCTTCCCCTCCGGCAACCTTGCCGGTGAGGGGGGGCATTCATGCCCTGAAAGTCCTGCTACGGAGTTTCCTGATGCAACTAGAAGCACACACCGGATCAAGCACCGGGTGATCAAGCGATTTTGTACTTAAAGTGAATTGAAAACGTGATGCCATTGACCTGTGAGTCAAGTTAAAGCGAGAACATTTAAAAAAGCCGAAAGCCGCCCCAAGGGAAGCAGGGGGGGGGGGACTCTCCTCCGAGAAGATAAACATAAGCGAACTTTACTGTTTAAGCAGGGGGCGGGATTGAGACGCGAAAAAGACTGAAATAAAGGACTTTTAAGAACTTACCAAGCGTATTGGAGAACTTTAAAGACTGTGATAACTTTTGTTGAAAAGTAAACAATTACAGTTACTTGGGGACTTTGTTTTCTGATTGTCCAGGACAGCATGAACAGTTAGGCTGTAGGCAGGTCAGCTAAGGCCACTGGAAGTAGGATTGGGGGGGAGGGGAGGAAAATGCCTGGTGCCCTAAAGAGCTGCAAGGCCAAAAATCCTTTGTAGAGCCAAGATTAGGGGCCTTGGTGCCTCACCTCGTATACAAAGGCCAAAACAAAGGGGCCTTTGACTCAAGTTTAGGGGGGGGAACCCTACTGTATTAATTTATGTCTGAAACTGGGGTACAGTCCTAACAGCACATCATCTGCATTTTTAATTAATGCATAACAGTTTGAGTAAGGGCAGGGCTATTTTTGGGCAGGAACGCACAGAAACGGAGTTCCGGCTGGCTCCTGAGTTGGCCACGCCCAGCAGGAACTCATTAGCATAATAGGCCACACCCAATAGCAGAAACTCATTAGGATTGGCTACATTAGGGGTGTGTAGCCTAACATGCAAAGGAGTTCCTGCTACAAAAAAAGCCCTGGGTTTTGACAACAAACAAGGTAAACAGAATAAGAAGGGAAAGGTGGGTGTGGCTGGATGACCACACTTCTGGTAACATGGGCGTGTGGCCTAATGTGCTAATGAGCGGTGCTGTCAGGGTGTGGCCTAATATGCTAATGAGTTTTGCTGTTGTGTGTGGCCTATTATGCTAATGAGTTCCTGCTGGGCTTTTTCTACAAAAAGAGCCCTGAGTTAGGGTAATAGCTCAATATTCTAGAAGGCTTTGGCAATCTTTATATTGTGCCTCCAATGGAAGCCTTTTGGAATTTAAGGAGGCTTGGTCTAGTTCATTCCAATGGCTTTTCTTAGTGAACTTACCATGGAAACAGCTAGATTTAAAAGAGAGATGAGGATTGTCCCCCTCGTTACAAAAGCTAGTTATTTAATCTTACAAAATGTCTGATTAGGAGAGCTACTAGATACTGTCTGTGTAGAGGGGGTTTACCGCTGAACTATTTCATTACCTGTTTCCACAGATAAAGTATAAAGATCTAAGAAGCTCAATTCCTTGCGAACAGAGCAAGTCTACTGGTCAGCCTTGCAAAAAGCAAAACAAAACAAACAAAACATTGATTTGGAAATCCCTTTGCAAACAAAGATAACTTTACTGTACATGGAGTCAACTGCAAAACGCAGCATTTGGCAATTCTAGTCACGCTGTTATGAATTATGATCCGGACAAACCTGTGTGCATTGTGAGCTCTATACACTCTGTCCTAGTAGCAAGCAACTCTCTCTCGAGTCGCCAGTCACAAGGTCCATTTTAAAACTCCCCACATCAAGCAGTAAGAGAATAAGATGCACACGAATAAGATACGGAGGCACTCTGTGGGAACACGGTGTGTAACCCCACTCGAAGGCCCCTTCTTGGGTCCCGCAGTGCTTTAGAATCCCAAGTGCCGCTAAAAGCCCATGCGACAGTCACAGAGCGGCGGAGAGGGCGGCCCAGAGAGCGCCTGTGTGGACAAGGCAGCCAACTCTCTGGCCAGCCGGACATGCAAGGGGTGGGGCCATGTGCTCATCAGCTCAGCTGGGACAGAGCCAAGGGTCCCAGTTCTCCCCTGTCTCATCTACTTGGGGATGCCTTGGCCACCTGCTTGTCTGTTCTGGAGATCAAGGTGTAAGCTGGAGCCAAGACTCAGCTGCTGCAACCCATCTAGAAGGCACAGGCCCGGCCCTGCAGCATGAAAAGCACTGAGGAGAAGGAGGCTAAAGGATATTCCCTTTGAAGTGAGACAACGGAGAAAGAAGTACAAAGAGCTCGTGCTTTTTCTTCAGACAAATTCAATTGGATATAAATGGCTATTTCCAGAAGGCGTCACTTTCAAGATTAAGGACAAAAAAGAAAAGATTGACTCTGTTCCGAAAGCTCAAGAATTCCTAAGGGCTCAGTTGGGAAGACCAGAGGACGGGAAAAAAGAAGAGGACAGCAAGTCTAGTGGCGAGCTAGACTCGGGTTCTTCCGGAGAGGACTCTGTCAGAACAAGGGACAGCAGCCTCAAAAAGTCCTTATAAGTTGCGGAAGAGATGGGGAAAGGAGAAGTAAAGGCTGAAGGACTCTGAATTGTGCCTTTGTGAACTTTGAAACGGGATGATCGGGGGTACTGTTTGTAGACAGTTTAAATTTAAGCTTAAAAGAAAAGTATTAACTTTAAATGCTTGACTCAGTTTATAATGTTATAAATGATGGGAAGATTGAATGTAACTAAGCTAGTTGGAGGATCTCCCCTCTTGGGATTTTAGTTAGTAGTGGGTTCTTTCTTTATCCCTTAAATGTAGTTTTCCCTCCCCCTTTTCTGTTGTAGTTTTTGTAGTGATATAAAAAAAACTAAAAAAAAACCCTCCAGGGGCTTTAGAAAACAGCAACAAAAAGAGCGCTCTGGCCAACACTCTGGACACCTTGAAATTAGAAAGGTTTCTGGCACACACAGAGAGATGTTTCCCTGGCACCTCTGAGCTCTGGCGACTCTGTCCACTTGCGCAGGCCCTCCCCCGTTTAAAGAGACACACGCTCAGCCCTTTCTCCTCGCACCCTCCTGCCAGCCACTCACGGTCATGTTGAGGATGATGGCGTAAGAGGAATTGTCGAAGGAGACGGCAGAGGCACGGAGCCCTGCTGGGACCACGGCAATGGAGCGCGGGAACAGGAAGTACATCATGAGACACGTCATCAGCAGGCACACGGCTACCGTGATGGTGACGTACAGCTTCCTGCAAAAACCCGCAGCAGGCAGGCAGGCAGATCAGTGGGAGCAGACGCCCCTGAAGGAGACCCCCTCCACCCCTCTATCCATGACAGGCCGGAGCCAGGGAGGTGGGGGGGGCAGAGCAGAGGGGCGAGGGAAAGAGGGAAGGGAGCCGGGGAACAGCCCCTGCCACTTACGTCCGTCTGGGCTTCAGCCGCTGGTCCCCGTATGGAATGAGGGCCACAAGCTGCTCCTCTTGCTCTGGGGAAAGGGGGAGAGAGTCAGGGAGGGGCCCGCGAAGGCCGGAGCAGGACGAGCTCCTGAAACATTCTGGCCACGGGTCCGCTGTTCTCGACTGCTAGGGCCCCGGAAGACCTCCCGGGCAGGTATGCAGAAGCGCTAACCCTGCAGGGAAGGGCTAGAGCAGCTGGAGGCTTTTATGCCGGCTGCTTCCAAACACCCACAAAGGAACCTGACAAGTGTTGGGCCGACCTGTGCGAATCCAGAATGGCAAATTAGGGGCCATTAGGACTGGCCGTCCCAATCCAAAGTGGCTCACGAAACCACCGAGGAACGCTCTGGACAACAGGCAATCGCCCTGAGACACTCCCTGCCAGAGGAAGAGGCAAACGAACATAAGAGGAACAAAACGAGGCTATTCCAACCGTGACAGGAAGCTACCTGCTGCAGCGGATAAGAATGCCGCCTCAGCATGCCAGGAGAGAATGCCTCTGCCCCCCGGGGGCAGGGGACGGGTGTTTCCAGCATGCCCGGCTTGTGAACTGCCCCTAAAGCGCGGGGGGGGGGGCTTGGCCAACAGACAGGGTGGGGCCTCAGGTCTGAGCAGCAGGACAAGATGTTCCCTGTTGTGAGCCACCACGGCAGAGAGGTACCAAAGCAAGGCTGGGAGGCGGCACCTACCTCGGGGAATGCGCCCGGTGCCCTGGCAGGTCGGGCAGGTGACGGAGCCTCGGCTGGCGATGCTGGCACCAGGCACACCGGAGGCATCCGCCGCCTCTCCGGCATTGATGCTGGCGTAGCAGGACTTTTCCTTCGCCGCGCCCGGGCCCTTCGGCACGATCGGCTGACCTTCTTCTTCTGCGTCCTTCCAGGCAAGCAGCTTCCGGAACCACGATGGGGATTCATCCATTGCTTGGAGGGACCGTCCCGCTGCTGCGAGGAGCAAAACGTGGGCAGGCATCAGGCAGAGGGGCTCACGGGCAACAGAGGGCTGAAATCCCAGCCAGCCACAAGTCCTGGGGCTTGTGCCATGGATTACAGGCCCTGTTCCCCAGGGGCCTAACCCGTCCCCTGGTTTCTGGCTCCCTGTCACCAGGACCTTTTCTCCTCCTCCCCTTGGTGCCACCCATTTCTGTGAAGCACTCGCCTTCTTGGACCTCCTGGCACCTACCTCCTCTGTCTTTGGCCACACACACAGCAACAGGACACAAGCCCGGAGGCTACTTCTGAAAACATGGCTTGCTGTTCGGGGTGCGCACATCCACGCATCAGGTTCTTGTCCCTAGCCAAACAGGTTTGTGCGCTGCTTCTTACTTACTGAAATGATGCTACTCATCTAACCTATAGGTTTTTGAGTAGTGGCACATTAGAAGCCACATAAACCAAGGTAAGCCGTCATCTTAAAATAATTTTCTATGCACTGTAATGTAGGGAGAGAAAAACTGCCAACAGCCAAAGGAACCGCTGAATCCACCCCACCCAAAAGTCTCCCCAATTCTTCTCTCACTGATACACCTACTATCCCACCTAAAGTAAAGGTTTCCCTTGATCGAAAGCCAGTCGCATCTGACTCTAGGGTTGCGGTGCTCATCTCCGTTTCCAAGCCGAAGAGCCAGCGCTGTCCGAAGACATTTCCGCGGTCATGTGGCCGGCATGACTAAACACCAAGGTGCACGGAACGTTGTTCCCTTCCCACCGAAGTGGTACCTATTGATCTACTTGCAATTTCTTGCTTTCGAACTGCTAGGTTGGCAGGAGCTAGAACTAGAGATGGGAGCTCACCCCGTCATGCGGCACACTCGGGTCTCGAACTGCTGAATTACCCACCTTCCACAGCCTGCAGTTCAGCGTCTTAACCACTTGAGCCACCGCAGCTCCTACTATCCCACCTAGTGAGGGAATAACCCACAAATCTCTCACATTTGAGAAAAATGGACATTTCAGTAAACAGTGTGCCAGAGTGTTATCCATTTCCCCAACGGCACATAAGCACAGACTCTCTGAACAGGACACGTTCTTATCACAGCCATTCATTACTTGCAATGGTATAGAATTCAACTTAGCAAGTATAAAAGGTCTCCTATACTGGAGCACAGTCAACTGCTTAATATTCAGTGGGAGACTCATGGAATAGGACAATCCTAAATAAGTGGAGGGGGCCGTGGTGGCTTAGAGGTTAAGACGCTGAGCTGCAGACCGGAAGGTCGGTAGTTCGTCAGTTCGAGACCCGAGTGTGCCACATGACGGAGTGAGCTCCTGCCTCTGGCCCCAGCTCCTGCCAATCTAGCAGTTCGAAAGCAAGAAATTGCAAGGAGATAAATAGGGACGGCTTCGGTGGGAAAGGTAATAGTGTTCCATGCGCCTCGGCGTTTAGTCACGCCGGCCATAGGACCATGGAAACATCTTCGGACAGCGCTGGCTGTTCGGCTTGGAAACGGAGATGAGCACTGCAATCCTAGAGTCGGGCTCAACTGGCTTTCAAGCAAGGGAAACCTTTACTAAATAAGTGGAAGAGCTAACCCAACGTGCTCTAAAACGAGAGTTTAGAAAATCCAAATCATATAGACGTTCCAAAATTACCTTCCTAGCGCTCTCCAAGCCCATCAAGTCTAATTTCAGGATTTGAATTCCCAACATAGAAAACCTAGTTTCTATCAGTTGTTTCCAAGAGCTTATATAAGAGTCCTTTCTTAACAACAAAAGGCAACCGTTATTTTCCGAAACAGATACAGTCTTCAACCACATCCTAAGGGCAGCTGCCCAGACTCAGGCTTCAAGGGAATGAACACCAACTTCTGATCTCAGAATAGTCCCTGCTACAGACCTAGGGAGTCCAGTAAGACTATGGGGGGGAAAATTATCAATGAATGGTCCAGTGTTTCTTGACAAGCTTCTATTCAGACTGGCGCACCATATAGAAACTAGGTGACTACCCTGGAATTTGATCCAGGCAGGCAGCTGTGTTGGTCTGAAGCAACAGAACAAAGGTTCGAGTCCAGCGGCACCTTTAAAACCAACCAAGTTGAATTCTGGGTATTAGCTGTTGGTCTTAAAGGTGCCACTGGACTCAAACTTTATTCTATACCTTGGCATTAAATACTGCCACTGCAGCAGGAAGATATTGCCTGCCAGAAGGAGGAGGAGATTGGATTTATACCCCGCCCTTTACCCGAAGGTGTCTCACAGCGGCGTACAAACTCTTTTCCCTCCCCCTCCCCACAACAGACACCCCGTGAGGTGGGTGGGGCTGAGAGAGCTCTGAGAGAGCTGTGATTGACCCAAGGACACCCAGCCGGCTTCACGTGGAGCCGTGGGGAATCAAATACGGTTCTCCAGATTAGAGTCCGCCGCTCGTAACCACTACACCAAACTGGCAATCGCTCCTGGAGAAAAAGGATCTGCGAAACACACAGAGTTTACTCTAGTAATCATACTGTTGAGTTTTGAAAATGAAAAATTGGTATTTAGCAGAGATAAAATAGCTTAGCAGTGCCAGAGTAAAATAATTCAGACTCAGAGTCCATGTGTGTTTAAAATAGAAAGTTTTTACTACATTCTAGCATGGGGAAGGGTAACTGGGATGAAAATAACAACGGAGCTAATCTCGTACATCCTTACACTACAAAAGACAAGACTAGAAGAGGGTTATTTGGCTTCTCTTTCTTTCTCCTTGAGAACAGCAAACAAGGACGGGAAGAGGAGCCATAAAATGCTAAAACACTTTGACACTTTACTCCCACTGAAACTCCTAGATCAGGGAGGATTTTCCCAGGGCTTGTAGTTCTAAAACATCATAGGCCACATGAAACACATGTGACTTCCTGTGACAACACAAACAAACATTTAACCCCAGATACACTGAGTGTAATTTTAACTTGTACTACCCAACACATACAAAAAGGACAGCGCCACCTGTCTCCAACCTATCATCAACCTGACCGTGAACCTTGCAAGAAATACACACTTTGATTTGTTTTAGTCTGGAAAGGGGCTGCGGCTCAGTGGTAGAGCATCTGCTTGGCGTGCAGAAGGCCCCAGGTTCTACCCTTGGCATCCCCAGTTAAAACGATCGGGTGGCAGGTGATGCAAAACACCTCAGCCTGAGACCCTGGAGCAGCACAGCCAGCCTCAGTAGACAATACTGATTTTGGTAGACCGGGGGTGGGTGGGTGTCTGATTCAGCATTAGGCAGCTTCATATGTCCATACTTTCCAAACACCACTGTGCAAATACATAATGGAAGCATAAAAATCACCTTACTTTCAGGTAGCTCTGCCATGGTGTTTTCCCCTGACTCTGGAATGTGTAATGCTCTGCAGCTGTTTCTCGCTTCTGCCTCTCTTATCTAGCCGTTGGCCTTGAGCTTTGGCTGGAAGCCTCTACTGTCTCCCGCTCACCTCTGAACCATTAACCAGTTCGCCGCGCTCCACATTGGCTGCGGTCACATGGAGCATTAGCCATGCTACAGAGACGGAAGATAGGCGGATTTTCCGGGCGCGATCACACTGCAACATTTGGGAAGCGTAGAGCTCCCATGGCTAACCCAAGGCTTCACGCCGAAGATGCGCAGTAAAAAACCAGTACCTCCAAGGTACTAGTTTCCGGAAACCGCGGGGCAAGGGCGGCGTCTGATCACGTTTCCGGTGGTAGCTCGTGGCATCCGGTGCCCGCTCATGTCCCGTCGCGAAAAGGATTTTCCCCCCAAGTCTCCACGGGATGTGCAGAAGCACCCAACGGCGCATGGGAACACTTGGGTTAAAAAGAACCCCACAACCCCCTCCGAGCCGCTTCTTTGCCGCGCTGCAGGAGTGAGGTATGATCGGCACCTCCCCCCCAACCACGGGACGTCGGTGGGACCGTTTGATCCTGCTGCCGCGCAGTAGTTCGTTCCGGGGCAAACAGCCACGCCTCCCCCCGCAATATCCGGCCCGTGTGACCGGGGCCATTAATTGCTTACTGGCTCCTAGGTGTCAGGGGGTGTTGTATGAACCCACTATAATTACTATAGCCATTTTGCATGCCTCATTCCTGACTCAAAGAGTCTAAGATGACTTCACCTTGCTCTGATCAATAAAGCTGAATCTAAGGACCTGCCGTTGATGCTGAGTTATTGAAGCACCTGACACTTATACTAGAAACCCAGTAGTTTGCCAAGCATATCTACATGCCTCCAGGCACCATCCTAAACCCACCAAACAATCCATTGTCTACAGCCAAGTGTTATGCTACAGCTGCACCTGTTCCTAATCTCTAATCTGGGAGAACCAGGTTTGATTCCCCACTCCTCCACTTGCACCTGCTGGATGACCTTGGGCAAGCCATAGTTTTGTCAGAGCTGTCCTTGAAAGGGCAGTTCTCTAAAGGGTTCTCTCAGCTCCACTGTCAGCGAGCTGCCATTTCCTTGGGACAAGTCTCGTCCCTTTCTCATCCCCGCCCCCTCCCTCACTCCTGTAGTTGTTGTTCTTTTCATGTTGGGCATCTGTAACTGCCAAGGTTCTCCAGCTGGTGTGATGGGGTGTTGTGTCTTTACGCTCTGGCTTGTTTAGGTTTCCCGTGTGAACTCAACTTGTGTTTATGGAACTGGCCGTTGCTGTTCTCAGGCCGCTTCGCGCCTTTTCTAATCTGTAACCTAACGAGGGAAATGAGCTCATTGGTTTAAACCTTGTTTGAAGTTCCTTTAATACACCTTCCCTGGGTATTGTAGTTATTCCTAACAATCTCTGTATGTTCATGATCAACCATGCTTTGGAAATAAATCTTGCTTCTTTTTGAACGTGGATCTATTCTCCTGATTTGGGATCTAACACCCACCTACCTCGCAGGCAGTGTTCCCTCTAAACTGAGTTAGTGTGAGCTAGCTCAAAGTTTTTTAGCCTCCAGATCACAGATTTTTGTTTTAGCTCAGGAAGAATGGCTCCAGAGCAAACTGATTTATGCAGCAGCCAAATCACTCGCTCACAAATTTAATGCCAGTGGCTCACAAAGTAGATTTTTTGCTCACAAGACTCCACAGCTTAGAAGCAACAATGCTCACAGGGTGTCTGTTGTTGGGAGGGGAAGGGAAAGGAGTATGCAATCCGCTCTGAAACTCCGAGTGAAGGGTGGGGTATAAATCCAATCTCTTCTTCTCTTCTTCCAGTCCCTCAGATAGAAGATTGTCACCTGCAAGATCTACAACAGACATTCTTGCAATTACAATACCCACCTGATGTAGTAAGGAAACAGATCAACAAAGCCCGAATGATACCAAGGGATAACCTGCCACAAAGACAGGCCCAAACAAAACAACAGTACACCACTGGTGGTCACATACAGCTCACAGCTCAAATCGGATCAAGACATCATTAATGACCTACGATCTATGCTAGACAATGATACTGTTCTCTCACAGGCATTGGGAGGCAAACCTTTTCTAGGCAGCCTCCTAACCCAGTTCTCAACCACAACAATACCCTTCTTAACATGGATACAGACTCTGGGACCATGGCCTGCAACAAAGCAGATGCCAACTCTGTCCCCACATCCACTCTGACAACCAGACCGAACACCACCAGCCACACCATCTCAGGTTCATCCCCTTCTTCACCTTCCACCATTATATGCGCCATCAAATGTCAGAAATGCCCTTCCAGTTTCTACACTGGACAAATAGGTCAGTCCCTATACAAAAGAACAAATCCAACATTAAAAAACACAACGCTCAAAAACTAGTGGGAGAAGATTTTAATCTTCCAGGTCCTTCTACGGTGGACCTAAAAGAGGCAGTGCCCAAACAAAGACATTTCAAGGGGAAATTATAAGAGGAGATTGCTGAACTTGAGTTCATTCACAAATTCAGAACAGCAGAGTTCCCTTCGGGCAGAACGGGGATAAGGGATTCTTCTGTCACTATGGATGCTAATTTCCCCTCAGCCCCAATCAAGCTGATTCCAATATGCAGGGTTACCTTCACATCATCCCTCCCACCTTCTGACTACGCCAAAAGGACGGAGGCCTCTGTTTCTGCAGATGTCTGATGACAGTCGCTTTGACTCTTGAAAGCTTCTACCCTGAAACTCTGGTTGGTCTCGAAGGGCTGTCTTACCGCATCGGAGACCAGAACTGTACCCACCTGATAGAGAGCGAGGCAGGGTCACTCCCAGAACGTCCCACCAAGGCCAGGCATCAGAAGGAAATGGCGGAGAGAGACGTACCAATTCCACCACACGGGTCTCCTTCCAACCAGCATCGCGCATTCACAGGTCCAAGTCTGTGCACTGCATTCAAGGCCCTGTAAGGCAGGAAAATGAGGAAATGGTAGAGGAGGGGGGGAGGTGTTGGGTATTACAAGTTGAAAACACTCAGTATATCTGGGGTGAAATGTTTATGTTACTCACAGGAAGTCACATGTTTCTCATGTAACCAATGTTCTTTAGATGTAGGAAGCCCGGGAATTTTCTCCCTGATCTAGGAATTTGATTGGGACTAAAGTGTCAAGGTGTATTACCATTTTATGGCTTCTTTTCCCATTATCTCTCTTCTAGTTTTGTCTTTGTAGTGTAAGGATGTAGCCGATTATGCTCTGTTGTTATTTTCATCCTAGTTACCATGCTAGAATTTAGCAAAAACTTTATATTTTAATCACACATGGACTCTCAGTCAGAATTATCTTACTCTGGCTCTGCTGGACTATCTCATCTCTGCTAAATACCATTTTTTCAATATCTCACAATCACCCAACAGGAAGGGATGTGATCCGCAGAGTAAGAGGAAGTGCTGCTTGGCTGCTCTCTCTCCCCCTCCCCCCCCTTCTTAGGCTCGTATCCGGAGCTCTTGCGCTTCAACTCCACGTCCAGGGCAACAGGGGAGGGGAAACGCCCCTCACCACTCTGATGTGTTCACAACCTTTCAATTTAGGAGGATCCAGGTGGGAGCAGCCTCGCTGGTCTGAAAGCAGCGGAACAAAGTTCGAGTCCAGCCTGGCACCTTGAAGGCCAACCCAGTTTTATTCTGGGCATAGGTAAAGGTTCCCTTGCTCGAAAGCCAGTGGAGTCCGACTCTGAGGTTGCGGTGCTCATCTCCGTTTCCAAGCCGAAGAGCCAGCGCTGTCCGAAGACGTCTCCGTGGTCATGTGGCCAGCATGACTAAACGCCGAGGCGCACGGAACGCTCCAGAGCAAACTAATTTATGCAGCAGCCAAATAGCTTGCTCACAACTTTAATGCCAGGAGCTCACAAAGTAGGATTTTTGCTCACAAGACTGCACAGCTTAGAGGGAACATTGCTTCCAGGCGCTCCCGAGCGCAAGCTGTGTCCAAATCTAGAAGGCTGACAATGCAGGGGGCTCTCCTTCAGCAAGGCTGGGTAGAGACAGTGCCGGATTTACACCTAAGATAAATAAGCTACAGCTTAGGGCCTTCGCAATCTGCTGGGGCCCCGAATAAAAACACAATATAAAAAATGATTTCAGAAATTACAAAGGCGTATATATTGTAATTTTTTCTGAGACCAGCTGATGTAATTTAAAACAGTAGGGGGCCTCTGGGTTTTGTATAGCTTAGGGCCTCAGCAAGTCTAAACCCGGCCCTGGGTAGAGACAAGGGGGGGGCG